AAATGTGCGGACCTTAAATCACTAGATTCGGGAACAGAGTGCAGTACAGACGTGAGAGCACGCCACTATTAAACTACGTTCCTATGAAAGTGTTACACAATACGATACGACTACGGTCTTTACATTTTTATCTTTTTTTTAATTTGGTCATCAATCATCAATTTGGTAATCAATCATATAAGTTTACCAATTTCGGTAGCATTATTCTCTGTCTATTTCTCACACTCAGTTCAAAGATAAGGTTCAAACTATAAGGGCATTAAGGGCTTTTAGAATTAGAAAGAGAAGAGGCCTATGTCCTGCAGTGGATTGCTATACGCTGATATTGCTGATGATAATGGCTATCAAAATAATTATCAGTTACTGTTTTCTTATTATCTCTCACTATTCTTATTCCGCAGTTTTATCTGTGTTTATAATCAGTATTTTTCTACTCGTAGATATTAAACTTTACCAATTTTCTATTCATATTATTATAAAGTTAGATTACCTTCTAATAATGCGTCTCTTTCTAGGATCAAATGTAGAAAAACACCCACAAACGATAAGTTATTTCAAAAGAGTCAAATTGTATACTGATATCCATTAATGGCACTGAAACTGATAATACATTAAGAGAACTCTAAAAAAAAAATTTGCCTTAAAATTTGATGAATCCTATATATGTTTGACTAGCTTTTGTCTGTGGCTTCGGTCGGATGAATGTGGATGAGTTGATAAATTCAACTAACTTAAGTACTTAAAATTTTTGAAAAGAAAAAACTGATTTTTCTGTCTGCTGTTAAAAAATTAGAAATATTTCTTTTTGTGTACGACGGTCCCTTTAAAAGACAGTATGCATAGTATTACGAAGTCAAAAGATTGTTTTCTCTAAAGTACCTTTGAGGTAGCAATGTAGGAATTAAACAAACAGACAAACTTTTGCACATATCGTCATTATCATCATCATCTCAGCTGAAAGACGTCCACTGCTGGGGCTCGTCACATATAATATTATATAATGAATGTTCTCATAATGTATTATTTAGTATAACATTGCGTTTTTCTTCTCCCACTAAATTTCCTTAGCCAGCCTAGCCTGATTTGAAGCAACTTGGTCTTAAATTAGCGCTTTTTGCAATTCATTAAAGTTTAAATCGTTTATGTCGGTCCTGTGTCGTTAGATGTAGAGTTCTTTTAACGACGCCGACGCTCCTCAGGGAGGGTCCGAACCTTGCCAAACTATTTGTTTGATTTTTTAAACAAATAGTTTGGCAAACTTATTCATATAGTCGAAGTTTTAGCGGTGGAATAAAATCGTAATTACTTTTCTTTCCGACATCTGTGGGTTTATTTTATGTTAAAATAAATAATGAAACATTTATTTACCTGCTTTCTGAATAAATAGTTAATAACAGTTTGATCAAACATTGCTTTGTTTGATTTATGTTGCAATTACGTAAGTTTATATAAAAAAGCAGTGAATAAATTGCTCATACAACAAAATTGACCATATTAATATGGTCAATTTTGTTGTGTAGTATATCATGGAACATTGTGTATCGAATATAGTGAGCTATGTTCTATTTATTATTCTACTTAAGAAAGTGTTCTTATTACCTTGTCGCCTATTCCTAATAACTATATATAGTACATAATTATGTTATGTGTTAAGTGATTATTCGCACTGGGTCAGTATCAATAATATTACTTCATTATTCAACCAAATGCCAGATATTGTAGTCTGGCGTTGAGTTGAATAATAAAGTCAGCGTGAGTTACGTGATTGTTCAGAGATTTGGCGAATCAGGTATATACTAATGAACGGCTGGTGGTCGAAGTTTGACCACAATCGTTAAATTTTGAATGTTTTGCTTTATTTATGCCCTATTTCTAATGTAATATAACTCGAACTTTTCGTTTCCACAATAGGTTGACCTGTTTCTGTATAGAATTTCTGTACTGTGTAGTGTTAGTGTGTGAAGGCATTTTTAATTCATTTTATAAAAAAAAAACCATATTATTTAGTAACTATAGATTTAGCTAATTCTTTTTCATGTTTTCTTTAAGTATTCACAAATTTACATTCAGTCTTGCGCGATATTTGCTTAAAAAGGGTACAAGAAATGTTCTCTATCTATTATTATAAAGATTACTTACGCAGTAATTTCACAATTCAGTTTGTATTTTTAAATGGTTCAGAATAAAATAAAATGCATAACAAACCAAATTAAAAACTCTTCTCTAATTATTATTTTTACTAAAATACAAAAGATCCGTCGATGACTTTTTACAATAAAAGTAGCTCACGTGGTTTGAAATAATTACGATTTAAAAAATATGTTCTACTTTACGAGAAATATTTAACAATACATATCAAGTCTTTGACAGGACGATAACACGCTTACTGCAGCATTCAACTGCAAGTTCAAACAAGATTGGTAAGCTTTTGTTGCTTTGAAAACTGTTGCCGTCTGCGAACACAATACATTTTAGCATCGTACTAAGGGTAGCAGCAAGCCAACATACTTTTCCCGTCAGTAGTTCAAAATTCAAGCACGTCATATGGAAAATCGTAATGCCAAACAAAGTTACTCAAACGAATATTTCTAGTCAAAACTTGATGGCATAAGTCTTGTATTTCTGTACCATAAATGTTAATAAAATAATTACGTATAGAAAACTTCTACATAGTTTGAAGAACATATCAATACGTCACTGAAAGTTAAATACATGAAATTTATGATCATTTCTGTTGCTTATAGAGAAAGAGGTAATTATTGTATGACTATTTTTATATTATGGCCATAATGGTAAGCAAAAAATTGAATGGATAAGATTAGTATAAACGATGACAAGCAGAAAACAACTAAATAGAAAACAAAAACAATTTAAGAAAGCAACGACGGAGCATAATTTGTTTTCTGCACACTTTGTGCAAGATACTACTAACTTTCATTTTAAAATGGTTTTCAAGATACAATTTTCTGTTGTGTTCTCATGAGATTCATCGTGTTTTGTTTCGGTTTAGACTAATTAGTTTTACTACTTCTATTATTGTAATTGCTTTTTTGAAGTGAAACCTTCTTTAGGCGTGTTGGGCATTTTTGAACAACAAATAAAATAATGTATTTTTTGAGATGGGAAAAAACCATTGAACTCGCGACACTGTTAGCGTTACCGACACCTCTGTATATAAGTATCCACATATATTGGTCCGTTTATACGAGAGTTGGGTTTTGTTTAAAATACATTCATAATACATCTAATATAAACATATATTGTGGATATACGTACAGCATAGATATATATTTATGTCGGCACTATACGAATCTAAAAAATACTTTTTTTTCCTGTTACAATCGAAGTTTTAAATTTTGAAGTGTTCACTTCTGTCTGCACTCCCGGAATGCCACTGTTTTTTTTTTTATTTAAAGGCAAAAAGCGATTAATTGATAAATTATAGATTCGGGAGGAATCAAGTGATTTGTGTTTTAATTAACACGTTACGTTACGTTACGTGTATCATATTAATAGATGACGAACGTAGTTTCGGTAAAGATATATTTAATTTCAAATAATAATAATAACTTTACATCTCACACACGATCATCTGATTCCAAACTAGGCAGAGCTTGTATTATGGTAACCAGACTGCTGATAAACATACTTATATATTTATAAGTGCATACATATTATAGATAAATTACACCCAAACATAGAACAAAATAATGATCATATTCGCCCGAAAATTATTTGTTCTGGGTGGAAATCAAACCTACGACTTCCGGCTTAGCAGTCAGGGTCACTAACAACTAGACCAACAGCCCATTCAGTCAATAAAACCATTTTAGTATTGTTTACTAATGTGTTATTAAATTATTTAATTAAAAGATATTTTATTTAAAACGTAATAAGCACGATATTTCTCTTAAATCTAAAGTTATTAATCTTTGCATTATTTCGCTTATCTCGTGGCCCTTTCCATCAAAAGCTTATTCTGCGAGCAGAGCAGTATTGATGTTATGTTATAACGGACGGCTAGTAACGACTGACCAGACGCCATTCCGTGATCCCATTTCAGTCCATGTTATTCTCTTTTTGGAAGGAGATACGAAATTTCGGAGAGACGTTACGAAAACAGATAAAAAGCACAAGTGTTCGGAAAAACAAATATGTCATATAATATTTTGTGGAATAAGTTTGCTCGAGGAATTTTAGTACAGGTTAGGAAATTGGGTCGTGGTGCTACTTATTATAACTTCGTGGCACTGATGGCGTTGTAATGTTTGGTTGCGCCATAAAAAAAATATTACACGAATGACGATAGTTCTTTAAACTTTTGGGTAGTTTTCAAGTCACTTACTACCACAAATGCTTTTTTTTCATCACATTTCTTCACAAATGAACCATGTGTCTCATGTATATTAGTTCGTCCTCTTTGAAAATACTAATTACATTGTAAACACATTACTTTGAATGTTTAATCTATGTTGTTCATCATTTGTACCTGTTAATGAATATTAATATTTAATGAAAGATAAATTATGTATTTATGAAGTATTATGTGTATATCTTTAAATTGCCTGACATTTCGACAAGATTTTACTATCTGACAGTAATATGTGAGACGCATTAGTTTCTATAACTATACATGGCTATATATCGCGAGAAGCGAAATTAAGTAAGTTTTGCTTCACTGACTGTCCTGCCCTGCTAAGTCAGAAGTTGTGAGTTTAATTTGCATTTAAGACAAAAATTATGTGATGATGTGTATGTATCTTTATTTGCCATCTGATACTCATAGTACAGGCTAGACCCTGTACCTAATAATACATCTTACATATGAGTGTCTGATCCCATACTAGGCAGACCTAGTTGCAAAACGAGGAACAAAACAACGTCAAGAAGACTACAAAAAAAAATCTGATGACTCTTTTCAAATGAATGAGAATGGCATACTTGGGTGAATTCTAATGCGAACTGTAATTTTATAATTGCGAATGTGCACATTCACCTACCTAATACATCCACACATCCTATCTGCTTCTTCATTGTACTAGTATTGATTTGACACATATAGCATCCTCGGTCCTCAACCTTTAAGGGTCTTATGTGTAGCTGCCAAGACTGCGGTGAATCATTGGTGACAGCATACCGCGGACTGTGTGTCACTAGCCGCGTATGAAGAGTTAGTATGGTTTGGTCATCGGCTCGAATCCACGCCACCTGTAGAAGATATACATCTATTAATTTTGTCAAGTATGTAATTTTCTAATAAAAAGATAAAGAATAAATAATAAACTACATTTTACATGTAGAAACGAAATATTTTTTTATTGCACACACATTTTTTTTTATAGCTATAAGTCCCACTCACAATATTATATTATTATATGCGCGCATTCATACACGCATGCATATAATAATATAAAAAAAAAAAAAAGCCGTTAAGTAGTCTTCTGTCTTTGAACATTTAGGAAAATAAATCCATATGATAGTGACTTTCTTTTTCAATAATGATTCAAGCCTGTAACTTTTGAATCAATCATTACAATTTTTGCATATTAATTGCTTGAACAATAACATAACACATAAGGTACCTTTCAGCCAGAAAAAAATACTATTCCCGAGGGATACACAATTTTGCCTTTATGCAAGAAAAGCCGCAAGTAAAAACTGGCTAAAACTAAAGAGCGTTAAAGAGTGTAAGTGCGCTAAATTTTGTTTTACATCAGACACAAAAGATTTCAGATAAGAGTGGGTTCTAAATGAAGGACCGTTTACCCGAGCGCTGCGGTGTGCCGCTAGGCCATACATGTGTTCAAATCCTGTATTTGTCGCTGCATCGCGGTCGTTAATTTTTTTTCTCGAATTTTTTTTCTTAAGTTTTTCACTATTTGGAGATAAAATTAAAATAAGCCGAAGTTATTCGATTCTTCTCTTTTACGATATTAAATGTAATTAAATAAGTTACAAATTTTTATTTTATATGTCTAAAGACTGACTACTATGAACTAGTATAAAGTCTAAACAATAGACTTCTTTGGGTAGTTTATTAATTAAAGTCGTCTTTGATAAACTACTAAAACTCAACAAAAATTAAAATTAATCAATACACAGATTGAACTGAACTATTTCTTTGAATTGTCTGTTCAACCAATTCAACATATAGGAAGCCTAGAAGAGAAAGGAGTAATAGGTGTATTAAATATTCTCATAAAAAAAAAACGAACTCGAATTCGACTGCATTTAACGAAAAAAAAAATCGCCAAAGTCCACTGTCTATTAATAGGCCTAATAGACCAATGATGCCTTTAGGCCTTTTCGGTCCGCGGACTGAAACACGAGTGGACCGCCCCAACACCCGAATCGACACACAAAGTCTATTGTTTAGTAGAAAGACAAACAAAAATATAAATACAAAGCTGACAATCCAACACAGTGTAGTATAAATTTCTGTCTAATTTAAGAGTATACTGCGTCAAATCAGAACCCAGAAAGACTATTAAAAGCCATTCGGAATAATCTTAAAATGTCGGATAATTTTGTACATACATATACACTTTATGACAGCTCACCAACGACTCAATTATTCCTATTTAACGACTTCGAATTCCCAAGAGAGAACTATACATTATTAAATTAAATTGTTGTAAAAGTTAAGACTTTCGAACTACGGGTGACTATTATTACTCAGTGATAAACTAGATTTTGGTAGAAGTAGGAATATATATTTAGAGATTAATTTAAGTTGTTGATATCCAAATCTTATCATAATCAAGCAAATTTACCCAATAAAAGCTTAGCGCCTTGAAAATATACTAAATTTATAACGGCACTGACGAGTGTTGGACCCTGCAACGTATGTACGGCCCTACTAAATACATGTATCTGGTATTCAATACCGCAACATAATTTCACTTCAAATGTAACATAACACATAACCATCTACATTTTATAAAAGATTGAAGCGTCATCAAACCGTAATAATAACAATATATATTAAGTAACTGTCTTACTGTCAGTTAATCACACTTTCGTGCAGGCCAGAATTAATAATAAAGTAATAAAATCTAAGTCGGTCTTATAAAAAGAGGTTTCAATGCCGATACGTATATAGTTAAGTGTTGTACAGTCAATTCATCTTTTACCTTCTGCCCCTATTCTGTCTAAAAATTTACATTCCCAAATAGGCCCTAAAAGGGACCAGCAAAAAGTTATGCAATGTCACACATTGCGCCACTCACGCTTTGTCATAGAGAAATGATAATGACGTATGCTATTGAATGCATACATGATTGACACTTATCGTGGATTTCCGGCGACATTTTTGCACAGTTTCTCAATTATTTGAGTCTGACTTTAACACCAAAAACAAATATTAAAAAACAATTACTGCTGTCTAGTAAAGTTTACAATTTTAAGATTTAAATTGTTTTCTTTTCACTTTATATTTAAGAAAGTAATGTGTAAAGCTTGAAAACCCTTAAAACTACTTATTTCAAACAAAAAAAAGCAATACACACCATACGTGTCTTGTAAAAGTTTTGAAAAGCTAAACTTATTATCTAGACGGTACTTTAATAAATTACATACGTAACTCTACAAACAATAGCATCTCGTTACGATCAAAAGATTTCCCAACATTACCTAGAGTGTTTCAGGACAAAGTGAGTTTCTTTAAGAAGGTTAGAAATCAAGTGAAATTACATTACGTTAAACACAAACGGAGAGGAGGTGGGGAAAGGAAGACGGTGCCGGTAACAAAAGGGAAATCGTTTTGCTGCGGCACTTTCAAGTTGTTCGGCACATTTTAATCACATATTTCAAACAGGGTTATCAGATTCAGAGATGCGTTGCCTTAATAAGACTGTCTTCATCAACTTCTTCTAAAATATCTGTTTACAATTTGGTACAATATTCTTAATTGTACAAAAAATATATCGGGTTAATTGGTTAACATACACAGGGGATCGATGCCTTTGAAAGTTGATGTCGGTAGTGCGCATTAAGAATATCTTGGACAGCTAAACACAAAAATATATCGATAAGACACACTTACTGCCATATGCCGCCAACGCCTTCTCTCGTACTTTGAGAACATATTAGGCAAAAAAAGATGTGATTTATTTTTTATCCCCTCGGATATCACCCATCGGTGGTTTTATCGGACTCGAACGAATTAAAATCGCACGAGTCGTCTCGGGTGCCAGTAGCCGTGGAACTAGGTACCCTAGGAAATAAATTCCTGTTGCCCGGTACATCCATGGGTTACCATCCCCTGCTGTGTGGAAATATATATGAACCTGTGAAAACTTATTTATTTATTTAACTTAATGCATTTTTGTTCATCTGTGGACTTAATGCCCAGTGCATTCTCTTCCAGTCAACCTTTGGGTGGTTTAGAAATCGTGTGAGGTGTTCTCTTCTAACTTTTTACTAAACGCTTTTCTAAATTATTGTTTCCATCTGTTTGTTAAAATGAACGAATAAAAAAATGAAAAGAAAATCGTTTGCAAAGAAGTTACGGACCAATTGAATAGAATTTTAGTAATAACATCGCGATAAGGCGACTGTTCGGTTGTTTGACTTGAACTGGTTGGAACCAAGGGTTGCCTGGAAGAGAATTCTTTAGTAATTAATTAATTCCTTTTTTTTGTAACTTTGTTTACACAAAGTTACAAAAAAAAGGAGGATTTTCTGGAATAGGGTAGATTCTACTATGTGAGCTTTTTCTAAACTTAAGCTCTAATATATCCAGGAACGATCACAATTCATAAATAAATTTATAACTAAATACGAAATATACGATTAATTTTACCAGCCTTTCAGATTGATATCTATTGGTATAATCCTTGCCTCAAAAAGATAAAATAGAAAATAAATACAATATAATTTTTTCTAGGTATTCGTGAACCTGAATAAATGTTATTCATACACTTAAACCTCTGTGAAACAACGATCCTCTACACAGGTAAAGAGTAAGCGAGGTTAGCCAACCGTAGAATTTTGATTTATTTTTGGTATGCCTGTTGAGCGGATTGTCTTACAAAAATACCGCTTCTAATAGCACTTTGCAAAAGATGACTCAGTAATTGAAAAGATATTTAAGTTAAATGTTACATACATGTACGTCGTATGTGCGAATTGCGAGTATAAATCGGTGCAAATTTATTCAAGTTTAACACAATCAATAACAAACAAATATTTCTTGAAATCGTTACTTGTTATGAGTTTTACAAAGTCATTTTCAAATTGTTTATAGCAATGCATTTTATATGCACTGTAGAACAAGGTAGTGTTCTTTTTTCATTAAAGTATTCAATAAAAAATAATATGTTTAACATGCAGTAACATAAGTAAGTAAAGCTTTTTATAGGGGGCAAGCGAGATGGCAGGTCACTTGATGGTAAGTAACTGTCGCTGCTCATAGACACATGCAATTCAAGAGACAAGTGCGTTGCCATCCCAAAGGATGTTCCCAGTACTCAAAAGTACTATCCTTTCCCAGAGTTAGAGGGCGGATAGTTTGGAGCTCTGTTGTCTTCACTCAATCAGTGAACAACAACGTATAATTATTTAACACCGGTTTTCATCGTGCAATTATATCTCTGGAAGCATGGTATCACAAGATACGCAGCAACCTTGCATAAAAATGAAACCGTTATGTAGTTGTAGCAAGCAGGAGCAGGCAGAATCATCATATAACATTATCATTTAAATAGTTTTAGGTCCAAATGAAAATTTGCCGCCTCTACTGTGCGGTGATACGATCCACGTCCCTCTCCGGGTCGCCGATATTAGCAAAGCGCTTATCGGCCGAGCTAATCTCAATCAAGAGCAGTGGGTAGAGGCCATTCGGATTGTACGGGGATACCGCACCATATCTTCGGAGGCGGCGACAGTCCTGGCACGTTTCCCGCCTTTGGACTCGAGGGTCTACGACCAGATTCGCGCGATCCACCGGGGTGAGAGCGGGGAAGACCAGGACGAGCTCGAAATGCGGCGGAACGCTCACCGAGAGGCAGTGGTGCAGTGGCGCGCGCGGCTGGAACAGTCGCGGAATGCGTGCCAACGCGCTGTCGGTGCTGTTCTGCCTAACCTCGAAGCTTGGGTAGGTAGGAAAGAAGGTCACGTCACCTACCGATTGACGTAGGTACTCACTGGGGCACAATGCGAGCACTGCGCAGCCGACTGGGACTCAGCCCAGCACATGCTGGAAGACT